ACACAGATGGCTCAAGATTTACTATCTGAAAACTGCATGTAACCAGAAAAAAAAAGCCAGGAACTTCCTTTGAAGCCATGTTGCAATGTTCGGAAGCACTTGGCGCCATCACAGCGGCGGAAACTCCCGGACCCACGCTTCACAACGTTTCTCGGACAACGCCTCAACCACACGTGGTTGGTCCTAGGTGCACCCGCGCTGATCTTATAGAGGCAGTTAGGGAAGCACCTGATTGGTCCGCCTGTCTTCTCGACATGTATACGGGCGCAACTGTAACGGTACAACTGTTGCTTATCTCCGCCCATACGGTCATCGCGGAAAACCCTCTTCTAGAGCCACGTCTGTTAAAGGCAGAACCCGCGATTGTTCGCCATCCCAGATAGTGGATTAGGGGGTTCCATATAGACGACAAGGGGTTGAGTAACTCGACAGTGAAGAAAAAGCACAAAAAACATGCCACCTGCCCTAGATAGAACCCCATTTCGATCCCAGTTTGTACGTGCCCAATTAACTCTATCTCCCAAATTACGCCCTCAAGATCTCTACGATCGTACAAGTGACGATTTTCATGCTTTTTCGTCCTGCAATCTCGTTTTTCACTGAAAGCCGGGCATTGGAGGCGGAGTCTGGAGGCGGAGTCACTGGAAAAAAGGAGGAACCACTGAACCTATATTGCGCTATAGCGCCCCTCCCTTAGAATTTTTTGCCGCGAAACCGGTACAAGGTTGTTCGTCGCGGACCACTCTAACCTCCTGACGCCATATTTCAACTTCGATACCTGATCGCGGACCGTGCCTTTAAAGCTGACAGAAAAATTTGGCAGGGACCAAATGCGAGTGGCTGAGAAAGTCGAATGCGCGGCGCATCTCAGAGGTGGAACGAGAGACAGAAATGTTTCGAGTGTTTTTTTACGAGGCTCATACCTTATAATTAATATTCAGTGCTCCACTCTGTATTCCTTTTATGAGCAATGCTGAAAGTGTAGGAATATATACACCAGCATACGATTCACCAGTCGTGTAGAAGGGTCGAGTTTGATATTCAGGATAGAGATTGAAGAAATCCACAAGAGCCGCGTAGTTCTCGGCTGCTGTCTGAAACATCAGTTGGTTTATCTGCTCCCGTAGAGAGACAAAAGAAATTCTGGTTAGCTACAGTCTTATTCGCTAGGGAAGCTCTTGTTAGTAGATCGGGTCTGGCGCAGCGCCAGCCTTTTTCCACCAATTGTCGCCACTTACCAGCTTTCACAGTTGAGGGGAACGGACTGGCGCGCGCCAAACCCAGCACTCTTACCGCCTCAGCCTCCGCAGTGAACGAGACTATCAATTGAACAATTATTCCGCGCCGGTCGTATGGATATAACCGGGCCGACAGTGCCTTTGTGCCTTCCCCGTCCCTGAGACGGTAACGGAGAAAGCACGACTGTGAGAAAGGCACAATGACCAGCCCAGTCCATACAACCAACGTGGAATGTGTTTCAATGCTGTGTTGTTATGGATCCATGGTTCTAGACGGCCTAGCCTTCATTGGCTCCGTTCGTCTTGTCCCACCGCGTTGCGACCGCACGCGTGTGAGACCAGCAATTTGATCTAGTTGAATCCAAGTTGACAAACTGCCTGATACAGCTCGAAGAGAGGTACAGTCCACATCATGGAGATGGGAGAGATTGTGGCTGCGTACTCGAGCAATCCATTTGAATATGGTGTAAGATGTTTTCGCACGGGATATATCTCTTTGAAACAATTGTCATTCTCTCTTGCGGTGAGCGAAGACATGATTACAATGGTCTCAGAATGGCAGTATTCCACCAGAACCTCAGCCGCCTCCAAATGAAGCAAGAAGCCACGCCCTTTCCGATTCCGGGATATGATAAGTAAAGAGTTCATTACCCGAAAAAATATAAGTACACATTAAGACAGTCTAAGACCTACCAGATCATCAGAGTACTGCGGTTGTATACCATCCGTAGAGTACGAGTATCCAACTCCCACCGGAGATTCCAAATAAAGAACATTGGCAAACTGTAAAAATGTTCAACTGAAATGTTCAACTTTTTAAACAACGTGATAGTTAGATAATTAATTAAGTTAGTGCGGCGGGCATTCGGTCAAGTTAGTCTCTAATCACGGTTAATAAATCATGAGCCAGCGAAGTCCAATCAAGAGTAACGGCATGATATTAGTCAAGATTGTGTTTCATGACTATCAGAACAATTTTTAAACCACGTCGTTCCATACGATCCATTGTAGCCACACATTTCGGGACAAGTTCTCCGGCCACGAACGGCACTACGGCCCTTTTCACTCAAGGACCCAGTGCTTTATCTACCGGTGCTGTTCGACTTGGTGGAGGGGGAGGGGGGCTAATTGCCTACTCCCACGGACGGAAAGACTTGTATACTCCTGTAGAAATATGAAATGGCCAACCAAGCCTTCTACCCTCCGGGGACGGTAAATTGGTACCAGATTCGTCTGGGAGGATAAAACACTGACTTGTACATCGGCTGGCCACCGCAAGTCATTGTATAGGCCACATCGCATTCAATAAGCCACTACGATTCTGAATGGAAGTAGAATGCGTGCCGCATCCCACAAAAGGATTGATCAACGGCGAAGACTTTATTCTTTTATCCTTTTTAATAAATGGTAAGATAGCTTTCCATTGACGGCAGGAAAGGCTCACCTGATTCCATGCGTATGGATTTTTTGTGACCGTCCGCCCATCCTTACCAATCCTGAACCGGTCCATTCTCGAAGAACAGCCCTTCCAAGGAACTTGATCCCGGACCACCGTTCAACCAGAGAATCAGAGGTGCTTGGGTTGGGTCGACCAGTTCTGACTCCATCAACCTGAAGTGGATTTTTGAGGGTGACACATCGTAGTCTCGTCAGTCACCAGTTACCAGTAGTGCAACATGTGAGTAGGGGATCCTTGGAGGAATCCAGAGTACTGCTTGAATCCCAACGGGCCAGTGAGTCCCGGCATAGAGAGAATTCTGTCTGATTCCTGGAAATTGTAGTTAGTTTTGCCATTTCCTACTTCATTTTCTTGGCATTTAGGACTTCGACAGTCGAGTTAAGGGACGGGCATTCCGTCCCATATGGTATTAAGACTAAAGCGAAAGTAAGGCAGAACGAAGACAAAGAGTTGACCTTTGGCGAGTGCATTTGGGAGGTACAGAGTGGTAAGCAAAGGCTTTGGAGTTGTGTCCACCTGGAATATGATTCTTTATAGAACCACGCTCCGTGGGAACAGTATTATGTTTCTTAGATGGTCTTACATAAAATATCGGGTTACTGTAGTTTGGCTGATTTGTTATGAAATTGACAAGCATTTGAAGGGCCTGGGCTGGACGATCCATCGGTACAAAGTGACCAGAACCCTGGAATTGGATTGGCTATTCTTTACTTGTTTCTTTTCAAGCGTTAAGCATCAACCGTCGGTCTAATTGGTTTGTACAACCTAGTGAGTCTAATTAGTTGGTTACCTTTACAGTAAGCTGCGCCAGGTTCTGAGTCCATGCCTTTGCGTAACCTGCAATCGTTGGACTGAACCCTGGGGCCATTTGATAGGTCCACTGCTGTCGATTAGATAAAACCTAAACATGTCAAGTACTGCGGGTTAAAATGCTGAAGGAGTTTCCCTCCGATTTCCCCAATATTGTTGGATATTTGGACCCTGATTAAATCGGGCGCTGTAGGCGCTGGCTTCTTAGTTATTACCCTGGTACCAGTAGCACTATTCAGTATCATATGATCCATATAACCTGATCACCTCGATCAATATTTCGCGATGCTCGGAAAGCGGGCAGGAGTTCGTAACTACTGTTTCTTCCTGACTGGCGCGCCCGTCCTCTTCACAGTATCGGAACCGGACGCGCATCAAAGAATAAGGCCTAACAGAAGTTTCCGCCCACCCGGTTATCGCGGAATGTGACTCAAAAGCTAAGGAACAACTGCGAGCTTGAAGACAAGTGGCAGGATGAATTGACAAGGCGTATAGGGTTTATACCCTTATCATGAAAGGATCTTATACCCTTTGGCAGGCGCTGCGTGTCGCCTTTTCCGACTATTGGCACCCTTATAACGCCTAACCAAGATGCTTCATGCCAACTCAGACACCCACCGCAACCGCCCGCACATAAAGGGTGCATAGTGAACATCGGAGCTGGTACTCTTATTGCGTCATTTATAAAGTACAATTGATATGAAACGTTGCTACTTGGATATGGAATACATGCGTGCAGACGTATCTACCAGAGCGGTTGCTGATGCGATGCGAACGGGGAAACTCGTCCAAAAGCGCTCTGTGCGGAACAGAGGTTTCTTGCAGGTGTTCGGCCGTTTGACTCTGCTTTTTCGCCATTTCCCTCCTGTTTGGGACCCCTGCTATTATTCCTAGGAGAAGTACCAAATTATGTTGCCTTATGCCTTCAAGCTTATCTTGACTTACGCTGAGATTCCGTTGAGCGACGAGGTTCTCTATGAACCACTGGTCACCGAGGAATTGGCATACGGTATCTACGTCACCATTGTAGAACATCAGCCGCATATTGTTGGTGGTATACGTCTTGGAATCCATGATGGCGTTGATCGTCGCCGACATATCGTAGTATCTCACCTGCTGCTCATAAGGCAAGTTACTGAAATATGCTCAGTCCATATATTTATTTTTGGGTGAATCATGTAAATATTTGGTAGACTTCTCACGCCAAACCAGTCGTAGGATTCCTTCCTTGCGCCATGCTCGGGTATGTACCTAATCGCAAATATGTTCTACTAGCACGGCTTCACAGTGAGTGGGGCGCAGTGGCCATCAGAAGTTACAGTAGTATACGGTGTAATCTTTGCGATTACTCACCGTAGTGGGGCGAGGAAAAAATCCCACGATTCGGATAGGGGTTGGGGTTTGTCATAAGGTAGGCAGGACTCATCATGCTTTTTTCCAGCGCGCAGTTGGGAAATTAAAGGAGCGGGGGCAGGGATGTAAAAAAAAATCCCCGTCGCGACGACGCTTCTCATGCCCCACCAAGAAGGGATTGGCTAACGGCGAAGACTTTATATTTTTATTCTTTATTACACGGCAATCACCTGCAATCCGTCCACTTGACTACGATGAACCAATTTCGCATGAAGTGCTGTCATAACATCAGGGCGATTCAAATATGTCTGCATGTTATCATCATTGAAACATGCGAACCCGTGGAATGCATCTGTGGACCCGTACCAGGAATTGTCCTGCAAAACAAATGTTATTCGTTAACCGATCACAATTTTTTCCAAAACTTGCTGGACACTGTTAGCTTGGAAGGGGCATTTTGCACTTCACTAGCTTCTGTTGATAGTGCCCATTATTTACGCACCACACCTTGGTGAAACCTGGTGATCCTTGTTGAGTATAGTCGGAGACCCTGCTTTTGCACACTTTCACGGGGAATTCACATGTCTCTACCTACAGAAGGCATCCGCAGTGATGGGACCCAGCAAAATGCCCCCATCAAGCCGAACTTTGCCGATTACAGTGCAACTAGCGTAATTTTTTCCCGCAATTCCTCTCTGCTGCCAATACGTTTTTCGCGATATAGCAATTTAAAGACTTACACCATAGAGTGGAACTTGAATTAAAGCATATCAAATTAACGCAGAATTTGTGCGACGCGTTACGTCGTAGAGCGCTACTCCCTGATAGTGAACCGAATTCGACGCATTGCTTAGGCTTGATGACGCAGTACAAGTCAACGAAGGGGCGGAGACAGAAATTCCGTCTTACACAACAGCGCTTCCTTTTTCTTCACCTTACTGAAGGATCCTTGATAAATGGGTACTTTGCTGGGAAAGACTGCGGCCACTCCAGCTTCAGCTTGCTGCGAAGCTGCGCGTAATTTTTTGCCTCAGAGCGGCCATGTGTGGAACTTCTGGCTCTCTAATTATCCTTTGGGCTTGAGAATGATTGCAGATGATGGAAAAGACGTGAATTCAGTCGCGCTAGCACTTATGCGACAACTAATTGCCCTCCCAAGCTCAACTGGAAAAAGGTGACGTTAAAAGCCATCGAAATATCGATATGATGCTGGTGAAGTGATTTTGCCCCTCCCTGTAATACCGTCAGTGGCGAGCGAATGGAACAATATATCTTCAGAGACCGGCAAAATCGAGAACGGACTAATTTACGACATAGTTTCACCAACACAAGAGCTGTTAGCCCCCCTCCGCTCCCCACCAACTCACAAGTTAGGCTGAAAATTGAGAGAATTGATTAGTGTTCTGAGTTCCACGTATAGGGAAAGATGAAAGAAGCAAGAACCCACGCCATTGTTGTTGAAAAGAGGCTGCTGAGCTGAGGCCGTGAGCCCCGCGAGGGCCGTCCGGCGCCGTTGTAGGACAGCTCTTCGTCTTCCAGCTATTTTTTGAGAAGCTCTGCCAAATGGACTAATCGGCGTCAAGTAACAGTCCTGATAGACGTTGTACGCATCAGGTCTGGAAATAAGAAACTTTGTTTATGGGCGCTATTTCGCTTGGAGGGTATTATGCAGGTTCCTCTTGTTGGACCCTGTTGATTACCGGGTCTCTAATTGGTCAGACCAGTGAATGTTGCGAAATTATTCGAAGGCAGTGGGCACAATGGTTGCGGGCGGGCGGTTGCAGCCGACGTTGTTGGTGGAAAGGGCCGCAAGAGGCGGTTTGCCCACACCCCATTCAGCCCTTCCACCAATGACGTTGGCAGCAAGCCCGCCCCCAGCCACCAGCCTGCTGCCTTTGAGTGAGCCACTTTGTTACGTCTTTGGATTTGCAGGTCTTGACAAAGTGGCTTGTACAAGTTTACCTATCACTTGATCCCTCACCAAGGCGATCTGCACCTATTTTTGTCCCTTTTATACAAATAGTGTATCTAGCCATGGAGTCCACGAGAAAATGAAAGATGGTGTCTGTTAGTACTGTGGATGTAGGGCGGGGGCAACCGTATCAAGATTCTTTCTCTGAAATGGGTTGTGGGGGGAGTGGGTTGAATGACATCAAGAAGGTGCAGGTAAAACTGGCCAGAACCAATCTCTAGGAACCAACTCAGCCGTTTTTCTTTGCCACCCCCTTTTCCTTCGTGGAGGTAAGGAGACAGGGCAGTAATCCAGTTGGAACTCACATAGTCGCGTCAAAAACGTCAAGAATGGCACGACGAATTTCCGTGGTGCGTGGAGGTAATCGTAGTAATAATAGGGGTTACTCGTCACCGCGGTGAAGTTCTCAAAAAGGCTGTTCAGATCCGGCTGAAAAAGAAGGGCAACATTATATAAACCTGGTAGTAAATAAGTACAGAATCCGTCAGTGAAAGGGGGCAGAATTGTGAGAAACTTGGATGACACAGCAGCCTATAGGAAACATCTCGACGCTAAATTAATGGACAGTGGATAAGATTAGAATACGCCCATGCTCTGCTTGTCTGATTTTCAACCAAACACAGCGGGCACTGCCTCGCTGAGAGAGAGCAGGCGAGCAGAAAATGGGTGTGGCCTCATCTCGCTGCTGACATGCCCTCCCCAACTACGTTGGTGCCAATGGTAAGATTTCTTGAAAGCTCACTCGACTCCATTAAATCCGTGACCGTATTGTAGGGCTATTTCTGAATTGTCTTGTAGATATTCGCTCAGATATCCGTTACCGATGGCCATACCCTGTAAAACGGCAACTGATAAGTAGGCTGCTCTGCCTGAGGTAAACAATGAAGAAATAATCAGTGGTTTGACCCCATTAAACAAGGCTAGCCTTGCGCCATTCGCCAGCTTTCGAGATCAAGCCGGAACTAGGGGAGGGGTGGGTAGGTGGAGAAGATTGTAGTGAAAGAGGTTTTGATCCTAGGAAGGGCTGTCGTCGCAGTTGCCTTTCTCATAAAAGTTCGCTAGGAGGGCGATTGTCATGCAAAGCCCGTGGATCCGTGGATCTAGCCTTTTATGCCCAGGAGTCTGACGTAACCCTTTTCCGACAAGAGGCTTCCTAGCCTAAAAAGCCCAAACTAATCAATCCCTCTTACTCTTTGCACACTACTACCGCCATGTCCCATGCAGCTGCGGAGCACTGATAGGCAACTTTTCCCTTTGAGAATGCATCAAATGTAAAGGCTCCTTAGTTCTGAGGCGGGGAGGGTTAAAGGCCTTAGTTCTGAGGCGGGGAGGGTAAGGATGATATACGGACAACTTGAACTCAGCCCCTTTGAACGCGTCGATCTTCTCTTTTTCTCTGCACTCTCTCGTCCGCATGGCACTCTATGGTCATTGTGACTTCGCACATTCCAGCTTTTCACGTATGATAAGTGGCTCACCCACCCCGGAGTCCCCTTCCCCTTGGAAAAAGCTCGTTTCCTGGCTGGTCATAGTTTCTTGCAAGTCTCGACGTTTTGGCGCGCGCTACCTTCTATCCGTCCGTGTTTCTTGGTTTCGCAACAGGACCATGCACACAAGTTCAAGATGTCACGTATCAACGAAGCACTCCACTAAGCACAGTCTTGGTCCCAGGGCAACTCACATGCATGTCTGGCAAAGTTACAGTATTTTACAAATATGAGAGAAGTCCTGAGAGTTCTTGGTGATAAGAAAAAGTGGTGGGGGACCTCATAAACACTTCGGGGCATCCTATCCAGGGATACTTGTTCAGCGCCACAGCTTCCTATCCTCCCCTCCCACCTCTCCCCAACTTCCACACGCTTGAAGCCTCGACTCTGTAGAGGAGTTCATAAGCACAAGCCGAATTTCAAAATGCAAAGTACTTGAAATTGAGATCCAACAGTCCAGCGTCAATCATTTGTACTAGACGAACTGATAGTGTTGGCCCATAAACGCCAGCATAACTCTCACCAGTAACAAAGAAATCATTATGCTTGTACTCAGGGAAGACCACTTCGAAAAAGTACTTGATTGCCTGAGCATTGTTGTCAGCCGTCTGAAAATGACGTTCAAAAGTGATACCAATTCTTGAGATCCTGAAAATTAAAAAAAATCGAGATTTTTTTCTATGAATGTTTGCTATTGACACCTAGGATCATGACGCCTCTAGGGGTCTCTAGGAACAGTTCTCGAGTAGTTTCTAAGGTGTTGCTGTAGCCTTGACCGAGGTGATATAACAGGAATAGTTCTCGAGTATCCGCTTCTTGATCTTAGCCTAGACGATCGCGACGACCTGACTCCTGCACGTCCGCCCTAAGTGTCGGGTGCGAGAAGAATATTGCCAGCATTGAGCAGGTCCATGGTACCCCTTTTTGCTGGTCTCGAACGAGCTTGTTCATAACGAGGACAAATACAACCTTGTGTATTGCAGATGTTGGGGCGTGTCGGGGATAGCTGGCGGTTTCGCAATGTGCTTCATGCTGTGCGCTGGAACGTCTCCACCATATTGTCGTCATCCCCTCTTTAACAACTACTGCCAGGAATGGGCTAGCGCCACGCAAGGCCCCAGTGCCTTTCGACACGCCCACTTTCGTACGCGAACTGATCCCAGCGAAATGACGACTCATGTGAAAATTTTGCGCTCTTATCCTTCCTGGGAATCGTCATTTTGTGACTGAAGGAAAGGGGATGACTTTGGCCTGGCCTTGGAAAATTTTTTTCGATCGTTGATCTCTTCCTCTTCTAGCGCGCTATATAGCCTTCCTACTCGGTGACGGCGCACTCCCTTTCCCCTCACTCGACTACTTGGCGGGCACTCTCCTCAACGGCGGCATGTGTCCTGGTTCATGTGGGTCATCCGTATGTTTTAATGAGCGCTTCAGATGCCTTTATAATCTCTTGGAGCGCGCTCACAGCGTTAGCTCTTGGTAGTTCTGCGGGCGCAAAAATCGTAGTTCTTCTAACATGCACATAGCTTCAGAAAATTTCCATTTGCCCCAAGCAAACGGCAAAGGGAACAGCGATTTTTCCAAAGACGTTTGCCGTCCGCCTAACCATTTTGCCGCGTGAATAACCGCCATCACTCAAAATCTTGACAGGGACATGATAGGCATATGGACGTGGAGATGCGCTCCAGAACATCCGAGCCGCGGCTGAATATTGCGTTTCAGGCGGCCAGTGCGCGGCATTGCGAACCCTAGAAATGGTTCAACCGTGTCAACGCCTGGCAGTGTGCCGCGAGTTGACTAGTTTAGAATTACTCTACAATTTTCTGAGCCTCGGATAACCTGACTTGCACATCCCCCGTTTCCATAACTCACTTTTCTATGCTTCTTACCAAAAATCGATAATCTTACCATATCGTCGTTCAAGCGATGCGTTCCGTTGTCACTGTAGGAAAACCCTACACCAATGGGTGCTTCGAGGAAGAGTACATTTGCCATCTGTAAAATCGATCTCGTTAATCATTAATCAATAAGTCAATAATCGTGACGCTGACTCAACTTTATTTCCAAGAGTTACACGTTCTCAAACAGCATTAGTGCCAATTGTCTTTTATTGCTGCGAAGCGTCCAATTCTTCCAGAAGACCGTCTACCAAAGCAATCAATAACGTCTCTTCATTTTTTCTCATCCAGAAGAAAAGTCAATGTCTCCGGAAATGGACCCACCAATCGAACTGCATCCGGGTCCACCGTTCAACCACAGCACAACAGGGTCGTTAGTAGGATCATTTTGCGACTCCATGAACCTAGAATACCGATTACTTGGAGCGATCGATATCAATCATTTTGATTGGAGTCTATTTACGAGAATTGACCACAGAGCATCATACGGAAGAAAACCTTTGGTGTCGGAGAGGAAAATCACAGTACAGATGGCGGCAGAAGCGGCCTTCTAAGGGTGGCCCGTAAAATTGACAAAGCGTACAGGGTCGATACGCTTAGCGGTACAAAATTCCGCGCCTTTCAACAGGCGTCTTTTCCAAATAAGGGCGCCATCATAGCGCCCAATTGAGGTGCCACAAATGGCCGTACAGTCCATCGACGCTAGTGTTCTTGTCGCTCCATCTATGAAGTACAGTTGATGTGAAGCGTTGCCATATGGAGATATGCATTTATACGTACAGCCATTTATACATCCGGTTTATGGCACGATGCCAACGGGAAACTCGTCCAAAAATGCTCTTCCAATGCTGTGCAGAACAAGGGTCGTTTCGGAAATTTTGGACCGCTTGACTTTGCTCTTTCCTCATTTCTCATCATTTCGCCACTATACAGCAGGCCTGCTACTATGTTTGAATAAGCACTAAATTATCGTGCCTTGTGCCTTCGAGTGCCCTCATAAAAGACCGCGTGCCTAGGAGTGCCCTCATAAAAGACCGTGTGCCTAGGATCCATGGCAAGTGACACATCTAGAGCGAAAGCAATCTGTGCAGGATCCTCTCACAACTCTTCCATCACCGCTGTCATAGGCAACAGCGTGGAGCTTGAAATGTGTGGGGTCATGAGCCCAGGAGCAATGCCCGAAAGGTGGCGGTCGCGGCGGATCAAAAGAATCAAACGCGAAGTACTGCCAACTCAACGAGCCAACGAAAAGGTGAGCTGGGCCGAGGCTCCTCCCAAAACATGCGCGGATAACTCTGATTTGGCCCACCATTCATGTGCAGGGAGGCCAAAAAAAAGACACTTTTCTTCCTCGACTTCTAGGGCGATGGTACACTTTATCTGATTCTGGTTGGACATTTCTACCAACAAATTCAAGGACACACTGTACACTATAACGATACTCCGCCCACAGCCTTATGGACGAGAGCCATCGAGAGATTGTGCCACGCGACTGTGATTCGCTGCCTGAGTTCAGCAAGATCGTTGATTTCTGTAATGTAGATCCTCCCCCCCTGCTTGAGCTCGCCTTGAAACCGCTAATCGAGGTTTAAGCTTCAGTGACACCGTTTTATATTTCAGTGTTTTCCAAGTTCTCAACGCCTTTGATCCCAAGTAGGCCGACAGTTTTAGGATTACCATGGGCTGGGACCCATCCTGTAACAGTACGAAATTTCCCAAGATGGTACAGGCTACGGCATGAAGGCAGGATATTCTTCTCGAGTTGGTCGACGTAACCTCAGCGTTCATCTTTAGTCTGGGGTCCACGAAAAAAATATCGGTCTTTCCATTGCAGGAACTCCCGGTCCATACCATCAACCCGCTCCTTGACGACCTGCGGTGAAGATGATGTCGTCAAGGAGCTTGCTCCTGGTTATGGAGAAACTTCTTAGGTATCTTCCACATTGGTACTCGTATCGAAGTCTTCTCTCTGGGCTGCGTATTCTTTACTGATATGTAACTCGGCCGAAGAGTTTTTTTGCCTCCCCCCCCTGTATCGCAAATACTTGAATAGTAGAAAAGCCGTGCCGCAACGGCCGACGTCCCGCCCTTTTGGTCCATGAAGGAACGCGAAGGAGCAATGAAAAGAGGCAACTGTTCAGTAAGGCTTGGGCATGTGCTCCAAGGCGACAAACCCCTTCATATTATCTGCGGGAGAGGTTCCAGTAAGAAGATTACATATTTCATTGTTGTCTTGTAAGCTACGACAGATGTCACGCTCTCTCGATTAGCGAAGAGGGTGCAGACGAGCAGACGTGACGTGCAGTCAACCGCGCCTGTAGCGCCTCGAGAAGCAACGTCAAAATTGTACTAAAAAGAGACAGGAATCATAAAAATAGTAAGAGAATTCTAGAACGTTTTACTGAATCATTTACTTACCAGTAGAACAGGTGATTAAAGGGATAGACTGGAGAAGTGAGATAGCCGGAGAACTGACGGAATGTCACATTGAATGTGATACCGGGGGGCGGGGGGGGGGGGGGGGGGCGGCGGGGGGGGGGGCGGGGGCGGGGGGGGGGGGGCGGGGGGGTGATACCGGGCAAATTGGTGATCATATCAGCCAGAGCCTTATCAGTCAGGTTCGAAGGATCTGTGTTCATCCATAGGTCCATCTATAAAACTTCTATTCACTTGTAATATCCACATAGTTGAGAGCTTCAAAAAACTGGCCCCATTTTGGGAAGGACCCAGTCCACGCTGATGAAGTGGGCGGAGTGCCGGAGTGGGATTTCTGCACCTCTCTCCTCGGCGCGCGCTACCTCTAGCGTCAATGTGGTGGGCACGGTTGCCCTCCATCGTCCTTGTCATGAACGTGGACTGTGCCTTCAAACATGGTGACTTTTTCTAGTAGCATGTGCACGGGTCTGCTGAAACCGTTTATTAGCACCATCAGAAAAGAATGCGCCACACACATGTTAACATGACGGCCAGCAGACCGCATCGCGGACCGCACGCGTTTAGTGCTTTTTCAGCGTGGTGTGCTTACTTACGATCTATTGCCCGTTTGGTGGATCAGCGCTGCCGCACCTAAACATCGTCTTCCGCGTGAGTACATTGGGTATAGAGACAACATTGCACGCATACTTATCCCTCAAACTGTCTCCGTTATGAGATTTGTCATAGCGGATGTTTCACAATATCTAACCGCACCGCCATCGCGACCGCGCGGCGTCGGACTTATCGCATCACATAGACCACATGGACGGCACTATTGAAACCACACGCAATATTTCACAACCAACAGGTTCAATGAGACAGGTGCTCTTTACAGTTCATGAGGAGTATCAGACGTGTTATTCGTGTTGCTGTCGCGTGCGGTTGCGTAGCGGTCACACGCTTCCACGAAACATATACTGATTTTGGGAGGAGGTGAGGGGGTTTTATACTCCTGATCACTTTCTTATAGTTGTATCTTACAGTCTATATATGCTGTCCGTCTTTCACCATCACCATTATAGGTAACTGATCAACCGCGTCGCGGCCGCACGCGCCATTGCCAAACAGATCACAATACGGCATGATAACAACTGTTCGAAAGACTTACATTTTCCCAGCCGCTTTGCTCCTCTTCGGTTTCTTCTGCCATACCGGGGATTGTCGGCACTGCAATAGAAGGTAGTGGCGAAGGGGAAGGGTAGGCTATTGCAGCGCAAGTGCCCAGTCCACCGTACTCTGGTTTCAGTGGCGTAGGCTGCGTCATCGAAGGGAGGAAGAGGGGAACTGAGAGATTGGCTTCTGTAATCAAGTCTAGTCGATTAAAAAGAAGACAAAACTGGGTGATAAAAACCTTGGAGAAGCATTCACTGGCCTATTCATGGAAGGCTGAAATTACGTCATGGAGAAGAGTACTCTGGCGTAAGCCCGAAGAAGAAGGAGCTCTGGAGTGGGAGAGACAAATTCAAGTCCTTTGAATACACTCCAAGGCTATTAGCGCCCAAAACCACTCTACTAACCATAACAAAGTTATAGATCATCTGAAGAGAAGGGCCTGGACGATCCATGGGAACCAAATGTCCAGATCCTTTCACAGTGACCAGATGAAGGTTCCTGCTGAAGATCTAAAAGCGAAAAAAAACTCTCAGCATCATGAATTGCATTGTTACAATTGCCACAGGTGGCTTTCAGAGCAGATATCGATTTGTCCAGAGTGCAGCGATGCGTCCGTACGCGTCATCGACGCGCACTTTTGGACGTTGCCGTTACTGACGTTCTCAAATGCAAATAATGGGAAGAGTGCAAATTCGACTCACCTTCTCATAACCAGCCAGTTGACGCTCGTAGGTGTTGTTTATTTTGTAGTACCACGGCCCTCGTTTGCCAACAGTCTGAAGAGTCTCAGAGTCTAGCCATGGTTAAGGAGCTGATAAAGGCTGGTCCTACGCGGATTTCAACAGAGAACTGAACTTGAACAAGAAACCAAAGAATTTGTTTGGAAACAAGTAAATATTAGGTGAATCACCCTTTGAAGTCATAGTTTACGCCTATCTGATAGGTAAAATCCTCTCCTTTTGAGGTAGCCTGATCGGATCCGCATTTGCAGAAACTGTGCCTCCTCTAAGGCTTAAAAGTGAGCGTCGGAGGCGAAAGTTAGTGTTGAGTTCTTCATCCCCAGTAGTGGCTCCACCCACTGATAGAGGCACCGCCCCTAGTAGGGACCCCCCACTGATAGAGGCGCCGCCCCTAGGAGGGGAGAATACCTCATCTCGTTCTCTCAATCATCTTCCTGTTCACTCATCTCTTGTCTCTGATCTCTGTCCCGTGCTAATACTGTTTCGCCTCCTCGCACTTCTTCTGCTCACCTAATGCTCGAAATTAATACGTTGGGCAACATTCAGGGCATTTTTTCATGGTTTTGTTAGCCCTTTTCTTCTCTAATAAGTGTCTTTTTCAGTGGGGTACGACCTAGCGACTGTACCGTCTCTTCGAACAGCGGGCCTACTTCTGGGTAATTGTGAACAAGTGAACGAATGGAGACAGGTTATGCTTACCGTAAGTGAGAAGATTGGCGGCCACTTGCTCGATCAACCACTGATCACCGAGATGATTGCAGACCTGGTCCGTATCACCGTTGTAGATAAGCATCCGCATGTTGTTCGTCTAAATATTCAGCTTTGACCATGAACAGCGAGTAAAATTCACGATGCACTTCAGTGTGGAGATTTTTCAATGGTTCCAGTCAAGCTCTGCCCTTGGAGACCTGTAAGGCAGCGCACAGACTTTGCAAAGACGTGCGACGCGCTATCACGCGCTACAATCGCAAAAGCGCTCCAATCTTATGGAGCGAACGGGAATGGACCGGCGCCGCCCTGGCGACCAGTGCCGATCGATATCCAGAGTACTCAATGAGGTAACGCGTACCCTCCAGTTCCCCCATGCTTTCTCAATACAAAAGCACAGTCGATCAATTCCTGTCTGTATTATTGGTGTTTGCGTCTATAGGATCGCAGTGTTGTTGCAATTGTACAGCGCATCGTCGCGCGTCGACGCGCGTCATTGCAAAGTTTGGACGCTGCGTAAACTCTTGTAAAGCAATGCAATAGCAATGCTTGATAAGAGTGTACAGGTCTCACCAAAGGTAGACGTGTAAGTTATTACGAACTAGCAAAGAAACTAGCTAGCTTAGCGAAGAACCCTCCTAAGCCGAACAACACCAAATTCATCTCAGCATTCTGCGAGTTTACCTCATAAACGTAGTTGCTCAGAATAAATTGTAGCTCGCCATCCATTTCAAAGTAACTGCGATTGTAATACAGGGTATTTAACGGGTCGCTGAAAATGTAACGTTGGATTGTAATGCCTCTGAATTAGATTGCTAAAGAAAAATGTTGGAAATTTTCGATGCGTCAGTAACGACCGGTGTGACGTCACTGAGACGTCACCTATCGTCAGCAAGACGGCAGGGTCATATGAAGCTAAAGCCATTGTAGCAATTATTGCAGCTCTGTGGAAAAATGAAAAGCGCACCTTGAGTAATCAGTGCAGGAACAGGTTCTAGTTTTTAAGGAAATATCAGAATTCCTTACTTGGAATTGATCCATGGTTGAACGAAATCGGGGATGTGAAGGGCAGCTCGAACTTCTGGTAGATTCATATAGACGGCAGCCATGTCGTCACACCAACATGGAAAACCGTTTAGGGAGTCTGACGAGAACGAATTAGAGTACTGAAAAAGAGCTGAGAATAATAACGTGTCGCAATGAATTTCAGAGCAAACCAGTCCAGTTCCTCTTTTGAGTCTACCGTATACCTTGACAAAGAATTTTTATTTTATCGCTACAGTCTCGTTCGCTGCGCATGCTGAGGCGTTTCACAAGGGCTGGCTTTGGCGCGGCGCCAGCTTGTTCTCCACCAAATGTGGCTGTTTGCCAGCTTTCGCAATTGGTAAAGAACAGGCTGGCGCCGGCCATCCAGCCCTTCTGAAACGCCGAACACTGCACTACTGCTCTCTGTTGGCTCCCTCCACCAGCATTCATGACTAGCTGCATTTTGTAAACCCCCTCCCAAGCTGGCTGCGTATTGTCATTGCCGACTCTTTTATCTAGCAGTGTTGTCCGACCATTTGGGCGGTGTCCGGCCTTCCAGGTGTTTTCGCCATTGGCGTCCTCTCTATCAAGATAGAAGGGCCCACGGATGAGGGGGCACATAGGTAGGTCCGACTCCTGCGTGTCCAGTGTGGACAGTTTCAGGGACAATGGCGTTCAGGAACGAGAATCCTACAACCTGCAACAAAGAGAGCTGAATGCGCTCATTCGTATGGTGCTCCAGATCAGTGAGTTTATGGTTAGCCACGCTGAGCTATAGTAGCCCGATTAGAAAGACGTCGCCTTCCGCTGCTACTGTGACCCAGCCCGTTGTAGGAACACGGGTCCTTCCGCAGGTTTGGGAATCAGTGCGGTGAAAGGTATACGCGCGCAGTGCCGGAGGCGGCATAACACAGCAAACAAAAGGACCCTGAACTCCGGAAACTAAACATAGTGTGCGGGAAACCGTAGCGGCGATTCTTTGGACTGCGAATCTTTGTTGCGGTAGCCTACGCGTGAGAAGTTCCTTACATGAAAATCGATCGATAAATCGATG